TAGCCACCAACGTTTTGTTTAAGTTTTATTATTTAAACTATCTACTTCAGTTTTATCGTGCTATATTGATTATTAATGTAGAGTGGTATATTTATACAAACTAAAATGTTACTTAATCTGAAAAAATAAGAGGCAAAGCCCTGACTCGCTAATTCTCCCACTTCCCATGAAGTCAAAAAGCTAAAATTTGGAACACGTAAAAAAATGGAAAAACTAAAAAAGTTTCCATTGCCCTAAATGTGATTAATTTAATAGTAGAAACATTTATTAATACATAAATGTTACAAGTGAAAATGAAAAAAAATTGCTTTCTAGTTGAATATTTCTACAAGAATAAGAGATGCAGCTGAAGATTATGGTTTATGGCAGAGTTGAGGTTTAAATAACATTCATAATTTTCAATGCGTCCGTAAATTAGATATCTTATCACTTCCAAAATACATCCACCTTAATCGAAATAACAGCAATTCCTATATAAAGAACAAACGCACTGACCGAGACTGGACTTGAACGGATACATCAAATTCTTTGTTCCATTGTAATAAAAATCCACAATGTTCTGGTTCGGTCGACTATGGAATATAATGTTGCCAGTTTGAACTTCTCGAATTCTTCCATTTTACGCAAACGATATCCTGAAGATGATTCGGTATCAAAAATATACTTTATCTTTGTATGAAATATAAAAAAAAAGTAAACAAAGATCAAAGCAAAGGAGAAAATGGACACTCCACTGACCGCTTGAAACAAAAGAATAAATGTTTTCCTTTTACAGAGGGAACTCACGAGACCGTCTATCTTGACAGATAATCACGATTCGAACACAATGTGTGTTGCCGTTATACCTGTCACTCGAAGCGTAACTACGGATTTTCAAGAATCGTTTGCAGCGGATCATTCACTTCCTCGATTCACTAACGCTCAGTTACGGTCACGCAAACATTCGTTTTGAATTTATGTTATAATTTCTTAAGTTGAATAATGTGAGAAGTGCCATGATTATTAGTTGTATCTATTTCTTATTCACTTTATTAAAATTTGAATAGGTGCACAAGAATCGCAATACCTATATACTCAACATGCATGCATTTAATTATCAATTCGAAAATCGCACATTTCTACGATTTTTTTTGGAGAATTAAAGTTTTAAATAATTTGATTTTAGAATTTAGGTTCACCACTTTATTCTTCCAATTCTTAAACTTTTCTATTTAATTCGATTCTTAATTAATAGTGAACACTAAGGGAAACATATCACTAAAAACGTTTGATCAAATGTAAGTTTTAATTTATTCGATTAATAAAAATAATGTGTGAAAAAATTATGTCTGGAAAAAATGTATTATTAACAAATACCATTATTATGTTTGAAAATATAGTAATCTTATTTGTTAATAATGTATTTACTTTATTTTATTTATTATTATTATTATTGTTTTATTTTTTTTTTTTTTTTTTGGTTTGGCATGATTTTAATAGCGTCTTGAACATATGATGATAAATATTTATTAGCGCAAAGATACATGATAATTTTGCTAGAAATGACGCAATGTTAAGATGCACTCTTAATGGAAATTAAGAATTTTCTGCTTTTTTTAAGAATTAATGATAATTAAGAATTTTCCTTAAATATGTTAGATAATTTGTGCGAGCGATATTTTAAGTCATTCAAACATTCAAAATCGAGTTATTTTTAAATTTTTTGAGCTCAGTAGTTTTTGAAAATTTTCTTTCATAGTTCAATAATTGTCATCCTGTAAGAAAATTTAAGGATAGCATTTTATAAACTTGTCATTTTTTATATTCCTTAATCCATTTAAGAAAAATCAGCAGTGTTATTCCTAAGGTCTGTCTTCCATTATCTTTAAAATCCGCCCACATATATACATATTTTTTTTTTGTAACTTGTTTCCCCACACATTTAGACAACTTTTCTTGGCTGCAGAGACGGGCGTGGTTTAATAAAATAACTCGAGAAATTTATCAAATAAAATAAATTAAAATTTGCTAGTTTTACCAGTTACGTGTTCACCAGTCTTGGCCTTGACTTTTATTTACTATAATTCAATGAAAAAATAATACATTTATTAGAATAATAAATGTTAGAATAAAAAAAAAAAATTTCGATTTTGAATGGATTTCTAAGTGATTAATTGTATATTTATTTTTAAATCACATCAATAGATTTAGCTGTCATATTATACTACGACATCTTAGTACTTTTTAAAGGGTACTATGCTAGCAAATAATCCTAAGATATGAATAGTATAAACAAGAAAAAAACTGTAAATAAAAAATTTATATATTGCGTTTTTTATTAAGATTCTTTTTTAAAAAATGTCACGCGTCACGGGGTGCGTGTTGTTATTATTATGTATGATACGATCCAGGAAAGTCTGAATGCTAATATACCTCTTCTACATTAGCATATAAATTTAAAATGTTTTATCAGATTAATCTTTTTTTAAGAGATACAAGATCTATTCAAAATTTTACTCTTAAAAGTTTCCAGAAAGAAAGAAATATATTCTGCTTTTAAAGTAGCACCATTAATTAACTTAATGAATTAATAAAATTAATAATGAATTTAATGAATTAATAAAATTATTTTAACAATTGTAAATTGCCAAAACGAATGAAGAAAAAAAGCTTAACAGCGAGAATTATTGAATAAATGTTTGGGAAAAAAACAAAAACGGAGCAATTATTCATTAATAATTATTAGTTAATGTTATAGAACTGAACAATATCTTCTTTCATAAAACAAAGAAAAAATAAATAAAACGGAAGAAATTAACGTATATAATATTTTTAATTAGAAGTTTTTTTTTAGGAAAATTCCACTTTTTACATTTTACAAATTTCAAATTTAGCTCAATATGCTGACTATTGTCTTTATTTTTTCTTTAAAAAAATAAATTAAATAAACGCAAACCATATTTTTAAATATGTTTTTTTAAGAATATTGAAGCAAGAAGTTTAAATTTGTGAGAATAAGGGTTTGAATACTATGAAATTTCAATATTACGACAGGAGTTCATTTATTTAATTTTTTTCCATTTAAAAATAATGCATTATTTGATGCTTCTCGGTCAAACCGCAAGTGTTCCTGTGCAAACATTATCTAATATTATCTGACATTTGCGTCAAGTATTCCCGATCAAAATAATCGTGGTATTCGTTGTTTCATCCTTCATCTCACCTGAACAGGGGGGGGGGGGGGAACCCANCTGAACAAGGGGGGGGGGAGGAAACCAACCTCCTCTTCTTCTAGTTTTATTTATTTATTTGAGTATCCAGATCTACTCATAACTTCCTACGCCAAGTTTAACTAAAATGACCTACGAATATTAAAAAGAGCAGCTGATACATTCTGTGGGTTGGTAATCATTCTTTTAAGGCTATTACTTTAGATAAAAATCACTGAGAAGTTTATAATAGATTAAGTTACTTCTTTTGTTTTAACATCTGTCTTCCCACACTAACCCATCTTTTAGTTATTTATTTTACAGAAGGATTACATCACAAGTTTCTAAATCCAAAATCGATATCTAAATTCTATATAAAAATTATTTCTCTGCAGTTTTTTTCGTATATGAATCTTTGTCATTTTGTATGCATTTTCGTGGTCTAGTCATTATGTATGAATTTTGTTGCTACAAAATTCATTATTTATAAAATTTTTGTACATGAATTTTTGGTGCACAAAGATATAAAAATGTTGGGAGCAACTCCTCAATTAGTTGTCCTTAAAAAAAAGGAGTGTAATGACGAAATCACACAAAAAGGAAGAATTAAGTTAAAAAATTGAAAACGGAAATTAAAAACAAAAAAAATTAAGACAATTATATTCATACAAATTTGAATCCTTCTTTTCAAATAATGTGTAAATCCGACTTATGTAAAAATTTATTATCGTTAAAAAATATTCTTATCTGTAAAAGAAGCATTTAAATTTTAATGACCTTAAACTTCATTACTATAGTTGTTTGAAAACAATATTTTATTCTTCATGAAATGTTTAGTTTAAGTCAAGTATTTACCTAATAATAATAATGCTAGTAATCTAGTAACAGACTTAAAGTTTTAGTGTACTTATGTGTAGAGATGTCCAATATTTNAACAGCTGGAACCTGTTATTTGAAAATACCTGTTATTGCCCATCACTACTTATGTGTTTCCCCCGTGACTGGATACCAGGGTCGTTGCCTTTCTTCATCCCCTCTCTGTAGGCCACTGATCTTTGGTACCACTGGTCTGAGATAAAAAATTTAAAAGAGCAGCACTAAAACATTTAGAGTTTTTCACACTTACGACAAATTCTCAAAATTTGTCACAAACTTTTGTGAACAGAATGTGTTTGAGAAAATGTGTAATTCAAAACAACGTTGTCTTTGTCTCTTATAGTCAGGCAAAAACTTAGAGCTACTTCTTCAGTCTTAACTGTGTAACCGACTGTGTTGAAAAACTTTATAAATAAAATGATGTAGAAGAATTATTTTTGCTTATTGTTTTTGTATGGTTTACAAACACCTCTCGTGGCTTCGGCCTGATAACGTTTTGTAACCTCATGTTGCTTTCCTGATTTACCATTTCATTTTGGCCACTTTATTTTAAAATTTTATATTATTGCAAAATCTTTAAGTAAACACCCGATTTGTCTAAAGTATATGTAGCATTTTCTGCTGTTGTTGTTGTTGCAATTTACTGTTAGTAAAGCTTAATCAGGTCCATTATACCAGCAACTCTGAGCATATCTAGCACGTAGAGCAGATACACAAAGATATCTCCTCTTGAAAGACCAAGGCAATCGAGGATATGGTCGGGTGTAGCCTGACAGGCAGTGCAATGACAGTCTGCTCTTGTCTGGTGCACTTGAGGTGATTACCACCCACCAGGGTGATTACTCTGATATCAATATATATACACCAATATATATCCTACTAATATATTTTTTGTTTCTTATCTAACTTTCTTAATAAATTTCATTTTCATTGTAGGTATTCTACTTCAAGATGGAACGTAATATACCAGACGTAAGGAATATTTTTGGAAAATGTACAGTGGAACCAACTTCTAAACCTAAGCCAGAGCTGAGGTCTTATGATTACTCTCCACGTAGCCGCCGACGCTTTGAAGACTTTGAAAACTTCGATGTCCGTCCTACAACGACACACAACACAAATGCCAATGAAACGAAATCAAATGTTTCTAACAGCAACAGGAGAAACAGTAGACATCGGTCAACTCTTTCAGATGATCTCATTGAACCAACGAAACACAGCAAGAAAGGAGATGATGCTGGTAAAAAAAGTTCCAAAGGCAAAGATGCTTCCCATTATTCAAACAGAACTCTTACAGAACGTGATATTCGTCACTTGGAACGCACTTTATCCATGAAGAAAACAATTCGGAAGCAAATCAGCCGTAATTTAGCACAAGCTTTCGTGGATGATCCAGATTCTGTTCTGAAAGAGTTCAATGTTCCAATGACGAAGACAGTAGCACCCAAAGTGGTTCCAGACAATATGTTTACTTTAACCAGAGCTAAAGTCTCGAAGTCGGAGCAGAATGTACTGGATCTTCTAAAAGACAACGAACCAGATTCTGGCCACTGCAGTGCAGACAATCCTAACAGTTCAGATGACGATACTCAAGATCAGGTAAATCAGCTCCATATTGTTAAGCCTAAAGAAAAGACTTTCGCGACCAGCAGGGTTGTTCCTGAAAATCCTATAAGACCCGATCAACCATGCAAAGAAGAAGGCAAGTTCTCATTTTGGAAAATGTTTTCGAATAAGCACAAAGGAAAGCGATGACTAACATGTGAATGTCTTTTTGTAGTTCAAAAATATTTTTTTAGCATATCTGTTAGCATCAGTGGTGCTTATAAAGAAGAAATTACTAAACATCTGCGTTATCTGTGATAATTTAGTTTAAGGGTTTTTAGTGGGTGTGATTTTACATATAATTTATTTTGATTGTATTTTGGTACTCTTGTATGACAAGACTCATTTTCCATGGATTGAAATAAATAAGCTTTTGTTTGAATACGTTTATTTATTTATTTTGGGAAAAATAATTTCATGGAGGAATAATTCGAAGAATTTAAATGTAAGATATGTGATTCCAAAATTAAAAATTGCTCACGAAACTAATGTATAAAAAAAATCTAGAATTTTGCAGGTAATGGATGGAATTCAAATTTTAAAGAAGGATAGACAGGAAACGAAATTATTGCAATGTTTACAGTTAAAACTAAATTATCTTAGTAACAATACGAAACGGAATCATCAAAATTTTTCACACTGAGCTTACTATGTAACGTCTATTATTTTGCCTATTATTATATTTATATATTTTTTTCAGCAGCATTTTCTAGATTTCTTTAAAGGAAATCTTGATTTTTATTATATTCTTTTCTTTCAATAAATAAATCAGACTGTTTGAAATGTTCCTATGAAACGGTTTTCAAATATTCTAAGTGTTATAAGCATATATATATATNAGAGCTGCGAGAAAAATAAAATACCTTTAAGGTTCCTTATAATATACCATTTTCTTTTATTCCATTGCTCTCATAAAATATTATCAAAACAAATAGTCTTTCTTTGGTTTGTATATTCATAGCTGCTAAAATTTTTTTATCCATAAACGTGGGGTTTCGCTCATGCTCGATCATTTAGAATTCCTTAACCGAAAAGAATGAGAACTGCTGCTTTAGATAGATTATCAATATATATACGTATATATATTGGTTCTAAAGATTATTATTAAATGAAAAGTTTGTGAAATCATCAAAGTTTCAAGCTAATTTCCGATATATATAATGTCAGATCCGAAGAGATTAAGGAAAATAAATTTATGTTCAGAAATGCCAATAAGTAAACACTATACGTATTTGAAAAAAATATATTTCTTAAAAAAGTGAAAATCACATTTATTTATAAAGATTATGCTTTAGATTATTGTGATTAAATATATCATTATTTTAAATTCGATATTAGATAACAACTCCATCTGTGATATTGAATATTTCTATTATTGGAAGATTTTCTAATTAAGCTCGATAATTTTCTTAAAGCTCGTAACCACAATTTATTCAGACATTCTTAAAAAAGCAAAAAAAAATTGACAGCAAAAAAAGGAAGAAAAAAAATCTTTTGTTCCTAACAGAATGGGCGTTTTCCAAGCAGCATATATCAAATAAGAATAATGGTCAACTGCACGTCAGAATAGCAGATAAGATGGGGTGTTGCTGAATTAAACTGAATAAAAAAATAAATAAATATGAAACTTTTTCTTTCGTTTTATTCAGTTGCAGCTAGGCGCGTTCACCTTTTTGCGTTGGCCAGTCGCAGCTCCGGTCCTACCGGTTGGTACCAGTCTCTCTGCCTATATGAGGTCGAGGCTTCACTAACCTTGTGGAATGTTTTTACTCTATTCTAATTACTATTTCCACCTGCGAAGGCGGAAGAGTTCTAATCTCACAGCAACAGTCCTTTGTGTTTTTGACTCTGAAAAAAAAAAAATCAACATGACATGACTTAAGGTTTGGAACAATTCTGCAATATTCACCAGGGAGAAATGAAACATCACAGCGACCCAGAAGAAGGAAGATTAAATACTGTAATCGGATTGTGAAGTTGTAGGAGCTAAGCAATTGTTGTTGAAAAAACTAGTATTTAAAAAAAAAAAATCTATGAGATTTAGAGAAAATGTTATTATTGTATGAAGAAAAGAAATTCGTTTTTGACACTATAATACGGATAATAGTTCAAAAATAATTATTTTTTCTTTGTATTATGTAGCATGGACGTCTTTATCGGAGGGGTGTCCTCTATAATTAGAAATCTCTAAAAGTCCTCATATTTCCTACATTTATTATAAAAATCATGAAAATGAGGAAAATTTTCTTGCATCATTAACGATTTAAATTTTAAACAAAGTTAATAACAATTTAAGAAATAATAACAAAAAAAAAATACTATGAATAGAATTTGTCAGAATCTATTTATAGTATTTTTAGGAGAAGAAGAATAGAAGGTACTATTTAGATAGAAGAAAATGTTCTCAATATTTTTTTTATTTTCAAGGATGTGGAATTAAAAACACTATTGTAATTATGTAATTAAATTTTACATCTTCACAAATGAAAAAGAAAATGAAACTTGCGACAACCACGGAATTGAAAACAAGTAAATTTGTCATTGTTCACTATAATTTTTCTAGAATCTACAAATTTTAAAAAAATCGAACATCATAAATTGCAATCCAATCAAATATCATCGAACTACGAATCCCACATTAAAGTTACTATTTTCGACTATTTAAACTTGTTTCCTTTTCCCAGCACCCACACATTCACCCCTCCATTTCGATAGAACAAATAGGACATAAATTGCACCAATAGTGCCATATTTACCTCAAGGATCTCTAAAATCATGAATCTGGCATTAATACAAATACTTGATTTTGCTTATTTCGGGTGTGGAGATTTCAAATCTGAAATTCGCTTTGCTCCTAAAGCTACAGATTTTTTAAATGACATTTTTCATCGAAATGTACAAGCTTATAACATAATATGTATATAACAGGGGGTCGTGTAAATGTTGCGACAAACTTTTAGGGAAGTTAGGGCACATCATTAGGATTAAAATTGCATAGGAACTGATACCCAAAAAAGTTGTCGTAAATGGTTAGGGGCGCTTTCCTAACATGAGCTGTTCAGAAGCATACGACGAAGCAGTTCATAACAGGAAAGTGCTCCTAGAGGTGTATGACGATATTTCCAGGCATGAGTTCCAATGCAATTTTAATCCTGATGATGTGCCCGAACTTCCCTAGAAATTTATTAGCAACTTTTATGCGACCCCTTGCTCTATATAACGTTTTTAAACTTGCACATTTCGAGAAAAAAAAGACTTAAACTGTCATTTTTAAGTCAAAAGTGTCATTAAAAAAACGAAAAACTGCAGCTTGGAGAAAGAAACCTATTGTACATTATTAGGATTAAAAATGAATAGGAACCCATGTCTGGAAATGTCACCGCACGCGGCTATGGGAGCTTCCTCCATTAAGACGTCTTCAGAAGCTCACATAACACAGTTCAGAACTACATATTTTATAATAGGGGAAGCGCCCTTAGCCGCATATGATGACATTTCCGGGCATGAGTGCATTTGTAATTTTAATCCTAATGACATGCCCCAACTCACCAAAAAGTTTGTTGTAACATTTGTGTGACCGAAATAATAGACTGAAACTGTCATTATGTCAAAAGTGTTATTTAAAAACAAATTGTAGCTTATAGAAAGAAACTGATTGCATATTTAAAATCAGTGAAGTACCTAAGATCTGTTAAAATACTTCATGCAATAGAAAAAAAAAATCATTCCCCGGTGTAATTAATTAATACCAACTACTTTTTTAGGTTTCGAAAGAAAATACAAAGATTTCCTTTCTGCATTGATTCAAAAAGTATTACGACTCAATTATTCAGTAAATTTTTATTTTGAAATTATTTTACCATAATATTATTAAACCAATTTATAATTACGTGTTATTTTTTTACTTAATTAATTATTATTTTGAAACTAATTTATAATTACAAAAGATTTAGGTTTGGTTCACTAGTTCTGAGTATGGTCTAAAAAGGCTCAGTTTAAAATAAACATTATGGAAATAAAACTAGCTCCTGACCTAACTATTACTATTAGTAGTATAAACCAGAGGTAAACTAACTATTTTTGGCACAGCTCAAAAAGCGTATTGAAGAAAAATAAACGTAGCTTAAGTGTGTATTAAAAAAAAAAGAAGAAAAAAGTGGGCATAGCTACACTATAAGACATTTAAGAAAATGGACATAGTTCAAACTACAAATTTAAGAAAATGAAGCCAACGTAAAATGTGCCTCTTCAATGTTACAAAATTTTAACCATATTTATTTTGGAATTTTTTTTTAAACACTAAGCATAATCAGCAAAGTCTTGGATTTCGGAGGTCGGGTTGGCGATGCATATCAGAATTGTTTCTTTTTAGAAAATCTCATAATGCCGTAACCATAACTTTAAATGCATTTTTCATATTAATTTTTTTCCGAGTTAATTTTTAACATTTTTTAAAAATTATTTTTTTTAAAAAATTATTTCTTTTTTTAAACACTGGAATCGAGGAAAAAATATAATCATCTCATGAAAACAGAAAATTAAAATTGTCATATTTTACACATTTATAGATTACATTTTATACATTACAACATTTTTCGTCACCCTGTTGTTCTTCTTTAAAAGGTATGAACATTTATTTTTTTGACATTAAAGCTAATTTTCTGAAAAGAAGAGAAGAAATACAAAATTTAAACAGATTGGAAACATAGAATCTTTCACAAGAAAGAAGTAAGCAGCAAATTACGATTTCCTAAATTTTCTCATAATCCTATAATTTTCTATTTAAAAAAAAAAAAAAAAAAAAAANAAATTAAGATTTTTTTTCTAAGATTATATAGGACAACAACAGTTATATATAGAAGTTTTTGAGGTATTTGTTTTAGTGCTCTATACACAAACTTTCTTACCATTAATAGGGGATAGATGAGAAAAGTGTATCATATTTGATACAAAATCTATAACTGATGAGCCTATATGGAGAATAAAATGTCATTTAAACAAATTAGAGAATTAAAAATATTATTTTTAGAAATCAACCAGAGAATCAGAAATTAGCATATCAATAAGTTAGCTGATCAAATACGTTCTTTCTTTAAAAACTGCTTCAATTGCGGATTAAATTGTTTTATTTTTACAGTCGACCATAAAGCAAAGCATTTCTGTAACAGCCTGTTGTGGGCCATGGTTCTATAATTAACAACGCTAATATGTTAACAAAATTATTATTTTTACTATGAATTTAACTTCCAGTCTTTTCACTTATACGTCAATTTATTAGGACATAAAATTTCAGTTATGTAGGTAATAGCTAGCTAGATTAAACTTATTGCTCGTCTCTATTTTTACAAAAAATGTACGATTTTTAAAAATGTCAACACATGC